AAAATTTTTTTACATAACATGGGAATTCGTAGATTTTTTCTCTTCCATCTTTTTTTTTAATAAAAATTCACAATTCATAAAAAATAAATAAATAATAATAATAATAATAATTTCGTTTTGATTATTTATTATTATTAACATCCCTATTTTCATAAGTAATAATTAATTTTTAAATAAAAAAAAAAATTTTTTCTTTTTCAAACAAAGCATTATCGTGTGCGTTTTTTATCAAAACAATATCCGACAGCAAAATATCCCCCCCTAATCAAGAGGGGACCACGAGGGGGGGGGGTAAGAAAGAAAGAAATAAAAAAAAAAAAAACTTGAAATCATTTAAACGTTTTAAAATTTATTCTTGATAAAAAAAAAAAAAAAAAAAAAACAAAAAAAAACGTGCGTGCGTGCGTACATACATACATACATACATACATACTTAAAATTTTATCCACGAATCCCTCATTAAAAAATCTACCCGAGAAAAATTATTAATAATAATAATAATAATAATAATAATAATAATAATAATACATAGATACTTTTTAAAAAAAAAAAAAACAAAAAACAAAAAATACTATTTAAATGCACACGAATTTTTTTTTCTTTTTTTTTTGTCACCGGTATTTTAATTGAAAATTTTTACAATATGGAATTAATAACAAAATAATAATAATAATAATAACAAATTCGAACACAAATAATTATTTTTTTTTATATTGCGTAAATGCTTTTTTTTTTTTTTTTCTAATTCAATTCGTGCACTTTCTTTTTGAAACCTTTCTCATCAAATTCAAAAACTCCAACGAGAATCATAATAATAATAATAATAGTAATAATAATAATAATAATAATAATAATAATAATTACCGGGATTTAAATTTAAACTAGGGTTTTCGATTTTTTTTTTTTGCATTATTTTGGAAGGAGGTAAATTTTATAAAAAAAAAACTTGGATTTGATTTTTATCCGGAAAATTTTTTCTAAAAATGTTCTAGAAACCTTTTTCTAGAACCTTTTCTTTTTTTGTTTTGTCTTGTTTTTTTTTCTGTAACTTTAAAACGTTTTAAAAATTAATTAAATGTGTATAAATATATTTATATATATATATATAAAGGGAAATATAATTTTTATTATTATTATTTTATTTTTGTTAATTTTTATCTTATTTTTTTTCGGCAATTTCCTCTCGCTCCCCACGACGACTTTCCCTCCTCCGATTCTTCAATCTCCAGTTCTCATTCCTCGCACTTCTCCTTGATTCCTTTGCTGAAATTAAAAATTTTTTTAGGTGTGAGAGAGAGAGAGAGAGAAAAAGACAAAGTGGACCCACGAATAATATCATCTTTTCACAACGTTCAGAGATAAAAAAAAAAAAATAATAATAATAATAGTGGGAATTTCCGACGGAGAAAAAGCAAAACGATGGTGGTACCTTCTGTCTAAAAAAATAAATTTTTTTTTTTCATCACCTTCGAACCAGGTTCGAGTACTCACCTTGTCTAATTCTTGTTTCGTCTTTTCTTCGAGCGCTCGTATGTCGGCAATTGTTAATCCGTACCAGCGATCTATGGAGCAAAAAACTTGACGATGGAAAGTTGTGAACTAATCTTTTCTCTGAGCTTTGAATCAAATTTTCTACACGGGACT